AAAAAAAAAAAAAACCCCATTTCAAGAAATGGGTTTGCATCATTCATAGAGCCATGAAAGTATCCATTGATGATCTTCTCCATATACCCACCATAAGCATTAAACAATACAAATATACAATACAAAAATTGAGTTTATTCATCAAAAAAGGTCGAGTTTTTACCTACGGAGAGTGTGTTTGAACTGTCGACATCATTTTCTGATTCGAGTTTATCTGATTCCTTCTCTCTTGGGCGCTTACGGCTTGTCGATGGCTCCGATTCGAAGACATTATTGTTCATATTTGATTGAATTATCCCAACCGAAGAACAAAATACCCTCTTCCGGCCTCTCTATTTTCTTGATCCTGAGTTGTGTGTACTTCGAGATTATAGATTCACAAAACTTAATCACATGTTCCACCGATGCCGCCCAATTAAATGGACATCTAATTGATATATCCAACTTAATCATATGTTTTCAATAAATTTAAAATACTTTCATACTCAAACGAGAGACTTTAGAAAAAAATAAATAAATATATAATGTCAAATAGATATACATTTATCTAGTAATTCTAGGGAGCCAACCTAACATTTATCATTAAAAGTATGAGTGTACAACCTAACAACATGGTTTTTGTGCCTAATTATGTGTTAAGGAGCAATCCTAGTGGAATTTTTGTATTAATTAGCAAAATCTAGACTTTCTTTTTCTTTTTTTTTTTTCCTTCCAAAGGGAAATAAATACTCCCTCCTATTCATAATAAGTGTCGTTTTGAAAAGTTGTACAATTATTAAGAATATTTTTTTGGCAATAATAACCCTCATTAATGAGGATAGAGATGAATGTTTTGAGAAAATATGAATAGTGAATATGAAAAGACGTAGTGTATTTATTAGTTAGATGGGGATAATAATGGAAAAATATGTACAAAATATCCAAAACGACATTTATTTTGTTAATAGTTGATAATGCCAAAATGACATTTAAAAAAAATAAGAGGTAGTATATATCTAGAAAACTTCAAAAAAGTACAGAAAATATGTCAACTGCCACCATGAACTAAATAAATTGGACCTGCCCTCTTGAAATTCTAGAGGAACCCAAAAGGTACAAAGCGATGCAACCCCAAAACCCAAACAAAACTCCATGAAGGAGAAGAAAACTCCATAAATGAGAAAAGCCAGACAAGTTGGACTAACAAACTAAAATAGAAAAAACACACACTTAATGTACATATAAATTAAGACATCTCCTACACCTAACAGACCCAATGCCCCAGCCATCTGAGATCCACATCCACTAGCAAAGAGATCCAACGAAACCACAAATTGAAACCTCATGCCCGAAAACTACGGCCACTCGTGTCGCCTAGACGAATCTGAAGAAGAGTATGTTCTCGATTCAGTTTTGGACTCTGAAAAATTATCCACACTGGGGGAATGAGAGGGAGTCGCCGCGAGAACACCAACTCATCTCGCCGGAGTGCTCGAAAGAGGGGTCGAACGGAGGACAAGCCACACCCAAGGACCCAAAACTTGAACAACAAGACTCCTGGCGGAACGATGGTCGGTATCTCTTCGAGGCTTGTGCCCGAACTCTGGCGGTCGGCAGCCTCGTCCTTGGCCGGGGGTTTGCTAGGTGGCGAAGCAACTCGGTGACTGTCCCCACCTAGAGCTGTCCAACCCAATCGCCCACAAGCCTCAGAGGAGCTGTCCAACCCAATCGCCCACAGCACCGACTCGACAAGCCCCAACTCCAGCAGCACGACGATGAGTCTGAAGGTGAAGGAGGGGCGACGAACTTGCAAAAGATGACTGGTTTTTTGCGATTGAGGAGAGAAAAA